TCACAATACACTATGCTCATATACACCAGCGTTTGGCAGATGAATGCAACTGTTGCTACGAACGCCAGTTGACTGAACGATCATCACGTGTAACATGCTCACAAGTCACCAACGTCATATTGTCAAAAAGAAGATCGCTTCTCGGTAGTTACCAGCTGCCATATTCATTGCTTAAAACCGAAAAGTTCATCACACGAAGATCCTGTTTTCACGTACATTTCTCTTGATCTCAACAGAAAGAAGGTGAAAGATCCTCAACTTTTTGTAGTTTTTCCCCTTCTGCGTCATGTTTGAAAGTACAAAATTTCATTCATTCTTCAACCAAGCAGTCGAAGCCGGTGCCCACAAGATGATGGAGACCTTTCTGCTTTGAGAATGGTCCTGAAAAGAAGTTGCACCTGTTGGTCATCTCCACAGGACTACCTTTGTTGTTGCCAACTCCAAAAGTCAAAAGGATTTGGTCTTTTGCATTGGAAAGTTTCAAGATTAAACAGGCAAGTTTTTTGAGACAAAAAGCTGAAAATGCCCCAAGTAATCCACATGGTTGAGAATCCGACAACATATACAAATATGCTCATATATTTAAACCAAATAGTTTCCTTAATAGGCGGGACTCTTTTTCCCATGTCCACTTTACAAAGGGAAAAAATCAGCAATGATCTTTCCTTTAAGTAATCCACATGATATTCACCAGAAATGTACAAGAAAAAGAACATACAAAGAAGCAGAACAACGGCCGGCCCTCCCCGCGAGTCCGTTCTTTACAAAGTTCCTGTCTTTCCGCGTTCATACTCCTTCCTTTGCCTGCTTGCGAAAACCGAGGATGCCCTCCCCTCAAATCAATTCATAAACAGAGGTATCGATAACTATTTGCAATGCGCTGGAACAATCGAACCCAAAGAATCGTGCGGAATGATACACATATCGAACTCCTTTCACAATTACACTTCGACTGCGAGAGGCCTTGACGCGGAACTCCTTCGTGCCCTCGACTCCTCAATCTTTTCAGCCACCTCGGCAACAATGAGCCGGGTGAGAAGCAGCCCCATGAGCATCGTGAAAACTGCGCCCCAGCTCGTTGTAGAGATGTAACCCGTTAACAACGGCCCGATGGCAGCCCCGATGGAGCCTGTTCCATTTATGATTGCCGTCACTGTGACAAGTGCTCGCGAATTCCCTCTTAGAGAACTGTGTGTCCCCAAGTCCGCGGAGATGGCCGTCGTTATTAGAGCAAAAGGCCCATTTACAAAAATGCCGGTGATGAACATGAGTGTGATGTTTACTGACAAGGAAACGGATCCATAGCTTCTGTAAAGAAACAGTGCCGGAATAGCGCAGTACACGAAGCTCGCTGCCGTTATGGCCCTAGCGTCTAGGCGGTCGGATATGTAACCGGCCAGGATCCCCCCAATGACTCCTCCATCATCAGACAGTGTAGACAAGTCTCCTGCTGTTTCACTGGACAAGTACTTTCCATCTATAGCTGCAAAATGACAATAAGCACTTGAAAAACAGCATAACACAGTTCTTCGATGGTAAATGAACAGAGTTATATAAAAAGGCGAAACAAAGAGCTTTTAATGGTATTATGATGCATTTTAGACTAAACAAATTCCATAAAGCACAATCCATGACGAAATCACTCTTAAAAGTTGCCCCGCAAGCATATTAAATCATCACAATCGGAATTTACCTGTCCGGCTGATGTAGAAAGGCAGCCAATATAGGAATGTGTACGCAACCAATTTGGCGAAGACGAGTCAAAAAGCAAAAGGCGCCACCCCCGGAATCTTCCACGCTTCCATGAACCCCGCAGCTTGCTCCTTATTCTCCGGATCAGAGCTTAACAATGTTTCTCTCACTTCCTCTCCATTTTCCTTGGGAGGGTTCAGGTCATCGTCTTTATCAGCTCCAAACAGATTCAGGACTGACGGGTAGAAATAAGAAGACCATTAAACCCATAAATGCAATTATGAGAAAGGGCACAACAAAGGACGAACCCCATCCATAGCTCAACATAGCAGAAGCAACCAAAGAACCCATAATACTACCAACAGATGTGTGAGCATTCCATATACCCATGATAAGCCCTCTCTAACTCTTGCCACACCAGTTACCAACTACAGAGACAACCGGAGGCCACCCGGTTGATTGGAACAAACCAGCAACCGTTTGCACAAGGAGAAAATAGTAGAAATTATGTATGTTTGCCCAGTAACCAACACCAAAGAGTGAAGTAAACAAACCAGTTCCAATCATCCGTACCGTTAGGAAAATCCTCAAATTCGTTCTATCACGCAACTGGCCAGAGCAGTACATTCCCACAGCATACACGGAGAGGAAAGCCATGTCGAGGTCACCGAGCAATTCCGTGCCGTCTGATCCATTAAATGGAGCCCAACCACTATCGCTACCCAGTAGTCTGGAAACATTTGTGACTTCAGGAGGGCTAAGGAAATAGCCTCTCCTCCATGGCTGAAACTTGAAGCCTACCTCCGATGACGCAGGATCCAGAGTGCTCTTAACAACGACCGTGGTTTTCCTATTAGCAAGATAGCATGTATAGGCAAAGGAATGTGACTATCAAGACAATACTTTGGTGCGTTCCGAAGGAAAGGGGGCTTCTCTTTATGTACTCAACGAATTGAATACCTAGCGGCTTGCTGTAACTATCTGTTGCTGAAGTCTCTGACAATGAATTCATGTAGGAAAAAAGGATTGCTCTGTTACTGGATACCGATGCTCTATCAGAACAGAACCAGTATGTAACTTCGATGGCCTCCCAGGGAAGCTGAACAGAAAGAGAACGTCCCATTATAAACCAACTGAAAACAGTGAAACTGATGCAACAAGATTGAATGCGACAGCAAAAATCCTGCATAGTTGATTGGTTAATTGCACGCTATAAGGTCATAAAGCGCAACAACTACACGAGCAAAGCCCATTACTACAACTGAATAACTGAATATGCTTCTTGGAAACAAAGTTTCTGGCTTGAGATTCTAAAAAAATGCCGGACAGTTTCGATCTTCATTCAGTAGCTGTACATACTGTTTCCAAGTACTTGATGAGCTTTTTATTAACGTCTATCTTGGAGGACAAGTCCAAAAAACAGAACTGCAACAAGTTAATCATCAATGGAGGAGATCCTAGATTATCCATTGCATCCACAGAACTCTGAACTTTCGTTCTTAAGAATGAACATCAGAATTCAGACAAATAAAAACCAAGAAATCTGACGGACACGATTGACTTTGAAACACCAGCTCACTTTTCTTTATTCATTCGAAAACACCAGCTCACTCACAAACAGAAAGAACGAGTACCCAAAAACTGAAAATGCAAAGAGAAAAACGATCATGCTGAATAAAAGCATTCAAAAATCAAAGAGCGTACGAGCAAAGCAACTCCTTTTGACTGATGTTTGACCTCCAGAAAATCCACACATGGCTCTAATCCAGCTCTTAGTGATTAAGCACTCTCCATCAAGAAATCCACACCATCATCACTCAGGAAATAACCGAAAAATTCATCGACAGAATATGACATTACGGTGGAGAAGCTGAAAAAGTCAACGGGTACACAGAAGTTAAGAGGAGGCATCGTCCAGAGGAGCAATTAATTAATACCCCTTTGCTCGAACAATGTCATCTTTTCTTGTCTTCCTCCTCATAAACCTCTGTTTTGGTCTTTCTTCTCTGTTTCCCCCCGTTTTTCCTTCTCTCTTTCCTTCTCAGCGGCGAAACGAAGAAGAAAGCTGTTGAATGTTGACCCATTTCCTGAACTTTGTAGATCAGTCCACACAATTCTAGCATGTGTCGTACGAACTAGAATGAGTGGCAGATAAACACCATGAGAGGTAGAATTAGTGGACAATGCATGGACAGCATGCAATGTTCAGAGATATTAGACAAGGAATGTCGGTCGAAGAAGGCCTATAAATAGGCTGTAGTGGTTACTGTTCACGAAGTACAAGCGGAAGACACACCCAAAGTTCCTCAACTCGTAATAAGATATCCAATATAGTTTTCCATCTTGCTCCCTTTTTACCTTACTGTCCCATTGTCATTATTTTTGCTATCTCCCTTCCTCGAAGTGCCGAGCCTGTCCCTTCCTCACATGTGATCCCCATGCACACACGTCCAACATTTAGCTTCCGCAATCTAACAGTGGTATGAGAGCCTCGTTCGATTGGTATTGGGCGTTCGTCCTAACCATCCTCTACTAAAATCACTAATCCAAATTTTCCGACACCAAATCCATGGCCAACACTGCCTCATCTTCGTTTCCTATTCCTATTTTCGATGGGAATACTACTACTGTTTATAGACCTTCTATTATAGGATATGCAGTTAGCTAGCTTCATTAATAACAACATTATGTAAAGACCCCTCACAATAGACTATGTTCATGGCCTTAGATATGTTTCTTTGGTTTGTTCACAATAGACTATGCCCATATACACGAGCGTTGGAGGATGAATGATGAGTCGGTTAGGCAACTATTGCTACGAACGCCAGTTGACTGACCAAGTATCACGTGTAACATGCTCACGAGTCACCAACGTCGGATTGTCAAAAAGAAGATCACTTCTCGGTAGTCACCAGCTACCATATCATTGCTTAAAACCGAAAGTTCCTCGCACGAGATTCTATTTTCACAAATATTTCTCGTGATCTCACTAAAAAGATGGTAAAAGACCTTCAGCTTTTTGCAATTTTTTCCCCTTCTGCATCATGTTTGACAATACAAAATTTCATTCATTCTTCAGCCAAGCAGTTGAAGCCGGTACCCACAGGACGATGGGGGAGACCTCTTTCTGCTTTGAGAATTGTCCTGAAAAGAAGCTGCACCTGTTGGACATCTCCCCGGGACTACCTTTGTTGTGGCAAACTCCAAAAGCCAAAGGGATTTGGTCTTTTGCATTGGAAAGTCTTCAAGATTAAACAGACAAGTTTTTTGAGACATAAAGCCCAAAATGCCCCAAGTACTCAAAAGGATTTAATAAAATCATGTCTATATAATGCGCAATGTCCAATTGAGAGTCCGACAACATTTATACTATTTAAACCAAATCGTTTCCTTAATAGGCGGGACTCTGTTTTCCATGTCGGCTTTACAAACTCTTTACGAAGAAAATCAGCAATGATCTTTCCTTTCAAGTAATCCACCTCCCAAATGGGCACAATCACAGCCCACAGGGAACATGATCCACCAGAAATGTACAAGAAAAAGAACATACAAATAACCAGAACAACCGCCAGCCCCCCCGCGAGTCCGTTCTTTTCAAAGTTCCTGTCTTTCCACGTTCATACTCCTTCCTTTTCCCGCTCGCGAAAACCACGGATGCCCTCCCCTCAAATCACTTCATAAACAGAGGTATCGATAACTGCTTGCAATGCGCCTGAACAATCGAACCCCAAGAATTGTAAGTAACGATGCACATATTGAACTCCTTTTGCAATTACACTTCGACCGCGGGAGACCTTGATGCGGAACCCCTTCGCGCCCTCGACTCCTCAATCTTTTCAGCCACCTCAGCAACAATGAGCCTGGTGAGAAGCAGCCCTGCAATTAATGCAGCCACCATGAGCATAATGAAAACTGCGCCCCAGCTCACTGTAGAGATGTAACCCGTTAACAACGGCCCGATGGCAGCCCCGATGGAGCCCGTTCCATCTATGATTGCCGTCACTGTGGCAAGTGCTCGCGAATTCCCTTTCAGTGAACTGTGTGTCCCCAAGTCCGCGGAGACGGCCGTCGTTATTAGAGCATAAGGCCCATTAACAAAAATGCCGGTGATGAACATGAGTGCGATGTTTACAGACAAGGAAACGGATCCATAGCTTCTGTAAAGATAAAGTGCCGGAATAGCGCAGTACGTGAAGCTCGCTGCTGTTATGGCCCTAGCGTCTAGGCGATCGGATATGTGACCCGCCAGGATCCCCCCAACAACTCCTCCAACATCAAACAGTGTAGACAAGTCTCCTGCTGCTTCGCTGGACAAGTACTTTCCATCTATAGCTGCAAAATGACAATAAGTATGTGAATAACAGCATAACACAGTTCTTGGATGGTAAATAAGTATGTGAAAAAAAAAAGCTTTTGATGGTCTTATGATGCATTTTAGACTAAACATATTTCAGAAAGCACAATCCATGACGAAATTACTCTTAAAAGTGCTTTGCAAGCGGATTGAATCCATACAATCAGAAGTACCTGTGTGGCTTATGTAGTAAGGCAGCCAATATAGGAATGTGTACGCAACCAATTTGACAAAGAAGAGGCAAAAAGCAAAAGGCGCCACCCCCGGAATCTTCCACGCTTCAATGAACCCCACTGCTTGCTCCTTGTTCTCCGAATCTGAGCTTAACAAAGGTTCTCTCACTTCCTCTCCATTTTTCTTGGGTGAGTTCAGGTTATCGTCCTTATCAGCTCCAACAGATTCAGGACTGACGGGTAGAAATAAGAAGACCACTAAACCCATAAATGCAATTATGAGACCGGGAACAACAAAGGACCAACCCCATCCATAGCTCAACATAGCAGAAGCAATCAAAGAACCCACAATATTGCCAACAGAAGTGTGAGCATTCCATATACCCATGATAAGCCCTCTCTTACTCTTGCCAAACCAGTTACCGACTACGGCCACAACTGAAGGCCACCCGGTTGATTGGAACAAACCAGCAACCATTTGCATAACGAGAAAGTAGTAGAAATTATGTATGTTTGCCCAATAACCAACACCAAAGAGTGAAGTAAACAGACCAGTTCCAATCATCCCCACCGTTAGGAAAATCCTCAAATTCGTTCTATCACCCAACTGGCCAGAGCAGTACATTCCCGCAGCATACATGGACAGGAAAGCCACATCGAGGTCAGCGAGCAATTCCGATCCGTCTGATCCATTGAACGGGGCCCAACCACTATCACTACCCAGTAGTCCGGAATAATTTCTGCCTTCATGTGGACTAAGGAAATAGCCCGTCCTCCACGGATGAAACTTCAAGCCTACTTCAGATGACGCGGGATCGAGAGTGCTCTTAACGACGCTCGTGGTTTTCCGATTAGCATGATAGCATGTGTACGCAAGGAATGTGACTATCAAGACAATACTTTGGTGCGCTCTGAAGGAAACAGGGCTTCTCTTTATGTACTCGACGAACCGAATTCCTAGCGGCTTGCTGTAACCATCTGTCATTGAAGTCTCTGACAATGGACTCATGTAGGAGCTAAGGATTGCTCCGTTACTGGACACAGACGCTCAATAGGAACCCGAACCAGTATGCTAACTTCGATAGCCTCCCACCTGAAGCTGAAAAGAAAGAGAACGTCCCATTATAAAGCAAACGAAAATATGCAACAAGATTAAGCTAATTAATGCTCGACGAATGCCACGACAACAAAATCCAGCATTGTTCATCAGTTAATTGCACGCTGTAAGGTCATAAAGCGCAACAGTTACACGAGCAAAGCCGATTCCTGCGTTTAAATAATTGAATGCGCTTCCGGGAAACAAAGTTTCTGGCTCGACCTTCTTGAATAGCTGTAAATACCGTTTCCAAGTACTTGCTGATTTCTTATTCACATTTATCACGGAGGACAAGTCCAAAAAGCAGAACAACAAGAAGTTATTTATTACAATGGAGGAGACTCAAGATGATCCATTGCTTTGCTTACATAGAGCTCTGAACTTTTGTTCTTTGGAACTCCGATGTCAAACATCATCTAATGGTGGTTGCAGTAAAATTCAGGGCGAGCCCACATACGAATACCAGAATTCAGAAAAATAAGAACCAAGAAATCTGATATACACCTTTGACCATTTTAAACACCAGCTCACTGCAAACAGATATTTGAGCACCCAGAAACTGAAAATGCAAATAGAAAAACGATCACGCTGAATAAGAGTTTCCAAGAATCAAAGAACGCACAAGCAAAGCAACTCCTTTCGACCGATGTCTGAGCTCGAAAAGAACCACCGACGGCTCTGATCCAGATCTCAGTGATAACCACTCCCCACCAAGAAATCCATAACATTACTCAAGGGGGTACACAAAAGTCAAGGGAGGGACACAAAAGTCAAGAGGACGGGCCTGTCCGGAGAGAGCAAATCAGTACCTCTTTGCTCGAACAATGTTTTCTTTTCTTGCCTCCCTCCTCTTGAACCTCTGTTCTGGTCTTCCTCCTCTGTTTTCCCCCCGTCTTTTCCTCCTCAGTGGCGTAACGAAGAAGAAGAAGAACAAGAAGAAGCAGAGGAGGAGGAGGAAGAGGAAAGGCGTTCCGAAGAAGAAAGCTCTCCGCTTTTTAGTTGCGATGGAAGCAAGGTCAGAGAGAGTTTGTCAGAGTGTAGGACGGAATGGTGACTATAAAATAGAGAAAATTGTCACCCCCCCAACCCAAGCCAAGAGAGAAATATTTCTACGGAGGTGAAATACCAACTCTGCCCTTTCCCCTCTCTCTCTCTCGCTCCCTCCCCCTCTCTCTCTCTCCCGCGAGCATGGTTTAGGAAAGCCAAAATGACACGTGTCCCAACTAAATGAAAAAATAGAAAAGATCGACCGATCAAATCGCCAGATCAAACTCGAGGTCGTGAGGACACACCTTGTCAACATCTTTGGGTTTTTCTTCTTAATTCGTCCCTCTTTGGTCCGATCGAAGACGGTAGTGCACAGACTTGATTGTTCCTTAGAGTTCTCCGCACGTTCGCTCTATTTCCCCCTATATAATTGGTCTCACCCTATCAGCAGTTTAACAAGATTGGTACAGCACTAATCATAAGCCGGGACTTCTTTTGGATTTTTTTGTGTTCGATTAAGATGTAATCTCGTCAAAAAATTAGAGCTTTCACTTTCACGAGAGCCTTCCTGACCTTTCCCCATCTCCTCTGAGAATGGCTCTATGGATACATTTTTTATTTTAATATATCGGTGTTCGCATGCCTCGTATCCTCAATTTTTCATGTATCTTTATCTTCCCTATAGAGAGGGATATCCTTCAGAAGTTTTATATCCTGATAATCCTCAGGTTTTTCACGAGAACCGAAATGGAACCTTTTAAGGACCTGTTCAAGTCCAAATCGGTCTCATCCACTCAGCAGTTTAATGAGATGGTATAGGACGGACAAAAATAAAAGGGAAGGAATCAAGAAGAGGGCATAAGTGAAAAAGAAAGGTCCAATCTTTGGTGGTGCTCTCTAGCATGTTAATGTTGATTGTTTATTCCGGTCAAAATGTTTACGAGGAAAACAGAAGATTACAAGTCCGTTTGTTTGAAAAAAAACCTTTTCTGGAAAATTGTTTTCCTACTTTCGATGTTTGGACGACGGAAAACATTCTTTATGGATTGAAAACAATAAGGCTAGATTGGGGGCAAAACGATGTTCCCTTCTGTCAATAAGGAAATCACTTTCTCTAAATCACCAAACAAATAACAACTACACAGTTTTCCTTATCGAAAATGGTTTTTATGGAAAATATATTTTTTTATTATTAAGTTTTTATGGAAATAAAGGCAGCTTAAAATGTCTTTGATGATTGAAGATGGTGGAGATCTATCAACACGCATAATCCTAATGCATCTCAACGTGCGTTTCTAAGTGAGGGTGTTGGTTTAGGGTCATTACTATTCATCAAGTAACAAGAAGACTCTGTTGTATGACTTGGTGAGTACGGCTTTGTACATGGAAATTTTTTTTTTTTTTTTACTTTTTTGATGTTCAAAACGTGATTGCCATATTTAACGCTTGGATCTAGTCTTCTTAATAATTTTCAAAAAATCGTTGGGACATTTGCAAAAATAATCTGCTGTTTTAATCCATATATCAAACATCCTCGTCGTATTTTTAAAGTTTATAATTACCACCCTCCCTTTTTACAATGAATATCGAGTTGCACATCTCACTTGCACATGCTTTATTAGATTGTCAATTTATTGGCCTTGTGTCTTTGTAGTGACATTATGGTAGTTTAAGCAATGTCTTTGTCACAATTACAAAAGAAACATTAGTAAATGACAAAAGAATTCTCTTAGGGTTGGCGCATTGGGAGACCTTCACTCGGGAACTAGATGTCATCTACTTGAATCCCATTAACTGCATGCAAACTACTCTATATCATGGCCACCTGCATAGGCCAAATTAAAGGCCTCCACGTTTGACCTGTATCCCTTGACATTCGGCGGCGTGACCAGCCTCGATTCTCTATATCAAGGTTGCCACACTGCATAATCTTTATCCATGAATCATCTTCATCCCCTTACGATATATACGCGTCAAGTCATTTACTTTTTGAGCTTTGGTTGTTGGCCCTTCAAATCTTCTAAACATCTGGAATTCGGTATTTCTATTGACCTTAGCATTTTGAGATTTAATGACTTCAGTAGGGGATCATTGAGAAACTCTCATGACAAGCAACTAATGACATAACTTTTATCACTTACCATCTGACATTCGAGTCCAATAGAATTGTCGACTCTTCTCTCGCACTCTCTGCTTCATCCCGCTTTTGGTTTTGCACATGCACAACACTACCCCTTCCTCGGACCTCGAGACAAAACCTTATTAACAACTTCTACATAAAGAAAACGGGAATGCGGAATGCTTACGAACATGGTGTAATTAACAAAGCTTCAAAATATGTTGTCGTTCTAGGTAATGGGAATGCGGCTCAATGTACGTGGATTCACGCACGATTGATTTGATAGAATGATGCACGCGTATAATTTTAACTTGCCCGAATCAGATTTGTACACAAAGATATCTACAAAATCTACATATTATTTTTTTTTGTCGACGCTTCGAAAGGGCAAGCTTCCTTTTTGCAAATTCAAAGGTTAAATGTGAGTAGGTCAACAAAAGGGAAGCGGGACGTCAAGCCCGGTAACCGGAGTTTGTTATCGGGTGGGCTATTAAAGTGATGGAATGTTACTAATCGGTCGGACCAATGGAAGGACGGGTTATCATTCTATAATCTATGCTTGTCTGGTATGCCGCTTCTCTCGAGGTGAAAAGATCCCTCAATCACCACGGCTATGCTAAGATTATAAAAGAAAAAAATTGAATAGGGAAATGGGACAACACTCAATTGGGTCGATGTCCACGTTCTTCACTGTCCTTCTCGAGATGCACTTACGTCTTTGTCGGACAAAGCGTCCCGGAAGCGAACTCTTACTTTCAAGTTTCATCCAATTCGAGACGGAACTCCTCCATCATTGGGGGGCCCCCCTTATCAATGCTCGTTGAATTTTATCGAATTTTGCACACTAGAAGACGTGGCGACACACACTCCATAATGGTTCGCTGCTTTCAGAATCACTTAATTAAAGACCAAAATTCAACCAAGCACGAGTTGCGTCAAAAGAGTGCTTAGTCATGCTAAGCTCGGCAGTAAACGCGAGTTGCGATGTTAAGGTGCGAAGTGGAACCGAGACAACGATCTGACGAAATCCATCCACGGTGCTCCCCTCACGTCAATCTTTTTACTCTTCTCGGGGAAGAAAACGAAACGAATCGATCAAAGCAACATCAATTTGGCCAGAAAGAAAAGAAAGAGCTTCTTGATAACGAGATGGTTGAGCATTGACCGCCTTGAGAAGAGAAAGCTCAATAGCAAATAGCAATTGCTAATTGGAGATGGCAATTCGAGGGCGCCGCCTACCGTTCTCGAAAGTGGCATCGCGCTTACCGGACCCCTTTTTCGACGTTGAATCGGAAAGATTTTTCCGGGTTAGGATCCGTCTGAACGGCTAAGGCTTGTTATGTTTCAATCGATCGTTGAAAAATTACAGAAGCAAAAAGCAAGGTGCCTAGGGGGGAGTTTTCACCGAGGCAAAATTGTGTAGGGGCAGAATAGTCATTGCGGGAGTCGGGCCCCGCTCGAAAAATGATAGGGGAGAAAAGTACGTGGGGGGGCGTGGCGAAATGGCGCAATAGCATATTGGAATCTCCGCGAAGTATATTCCTGACGTGTACGTTCTGATGACTTTCGCTTAAATAATTGAATGACATTTAATGCATAATAATAATACAATATTCACCGACCTCACCTAAATAATCCGATTGGACCCACCACGTCGCCATTTCGATGCCGATTTTTTTCTTCTTCTGGCAAGCTCACTTGATATCACAAATTCTCAAATTTAAAGGAAAAAATAGAAATACGAACGGAAAGAAAGAAATAGTCTATTGAAAATCGTAATTTCGTATCGATTGGAGTTATTTTTTGGTTCGAATCCATTTGGTTAGTAAATTAGTTTTTTTTTTCTGTTTTTCGCCCGAATTGTTTAATAAAACCTGTTGAGAAAAACAAATAAAAGGAGGCCCCCACGAATCGTGGACGGAGGGGGGCGGGCGTACGGAGATTTGGTGACGTGGACGAACGAGTGGGAGTTTCTCGCTTTTGGTGGATACGATGGCGTGAGCGATCAGAGAGGGCACGTGGACTGCACGAGCTCTCCGGGGGGAGAGCCCCTGTTTGATGTGTCACTTCGTCAGCGAGGGAAAGGGCGCAGGAAATTTCGTGAGTTGGCGTTTTTCCAAAGCGATTCTTGCGGTTTGAATGAACGGAGCTCGTTGACGGGAGATCTTTGGATAATCGCAATTGTGGGAGCGGGGGACACATCTGCCTTTCGGACACGATCCTAATTCGAAGCCGTCACGGTCCGATCAATATATACCAAGGAAATGAGAGAAGCTTATGGATGATACGAACCAGGCTCCGTCGCCCCCCCCCCCCCGACGGGTGCACATGAAGCAATCGATTTTGCTAAAGAAGGGGCGGAAAAGGGATGTGAACCAAAAGTTGCCGCTTTGTTAGGGAGAGATTCGAAATCGCTTCATTTTCTTTTTTTGAAACGATTGCACCCACTTCTCGTGCGGCTATTTCTAGTCTAACGGGGAACAAGTATGGGTGATCGGTTCTCACTCTGGAACTGAAAACCATCCGTGAAGTACTGGTTTCAAAATATTGGGACCGAGAACTGTGTGGTCCAATTTTTGGGTGGATCCATGGAACCGGTCGAAATGTTCCCGGTAAATCCATCCATTGTTCTCCATGATCCTTGCACCACCGCACCTGCCTGCCCTAGATGAGCTCCAACTTTGCCGAGACCACATGCGGTTTAGCACTACACTGCCGTCGCCTCATCGACGATGCCAGCCTTTTGCCGTGACAACCTCAAGGCAGTGAGCTTTGCCGAGCCATGAAGTAATAGCCTCATGCCAAAACTTTGCCAAGATCTCCATCAACGAAGTTGCCAATTCTTCACTGTACTTTCACTCTCTCGTTGCCCACACCACCGCCTCCATACGACTTCGATTCAGCCACAAATCTATGATCTGCTGCTAGACGCTCCTGTTGGTCCTTGTTCCCTGTCGGTTTTTCCTTCACAATTGGAGTTCACTTATCGCTGCTCGTTGCATGTGATCTTTGCTATCAATTTCTTGGTCAAACTTAGTGGTCTTCACTATCCAGGTGTCCTCGCTCTTACTGCCAAACTGACTAGTGTGGCCGTGGGTTCAAAGTTAATGCCCTATTTTCTCTAGCGATCAGAGCGAGAGCGACAGAGAGCGACAGAGGAAGCGACAAGGACGGAGGTGATTGAGAGCGAGAGTGACAGAGGGATTGACGGGGTCGGAGGCCACCGAGAGCGAGAGGGAGAGAGGGAGGCAACGCTGCGAGATGAGCGAGAGTGACAGAGGAGGTTTGAGGAGTAACCACTTTTGGGCAATCCAAGCATATTTTGACACTTTAGATGTACCACGGTCATGTGTAAAGTCGACACATTTGGTTTTGTTTTGCTTGACAGTTTGTGCATGGCACGTTCGATTATCTATGTAACTACTCCAATAAAGTGCCCAACCCATCGAGTCCCAAACATTGAGCATTCCCACTATTAAGTGTCTGAAAATGTCCCAATGGACAACCAACCTAAATGAAGCTAACGAAACGGACAACAATAGGATTTTTGAATTTGTCCAGATTAGACCTACGGCAATAGGTAAGCGAGCGGGGCATTTTAACTTGACTGAATGACACCATACGGCAAAAGTCTGATCGAGTAAAAGTGTAATTCGTGTCGCTGCTCCACCACCTCCAATAACAACATATCCAAGCTATGGAAAGATATTTGTCAATACACTTTTCGGGTGACATACAAAAATACAGCTTTGGAAATTTTATTTTAGAAAATAGATATGCAGCTCAGCACTTTATGCTAAAAGCGCCCAGCAAGCCAGCATTTCAAGAAGCCTACGCAGGTACCGCCTGCTTCGACTGCACACTCTCTTTTCCACACAAACACATGCCTACAGAGTATAGATGACCAACAGCGTTCACAAATCGTTTCAAAAGCTAATACTTCATCACATGGAGGGGGCTAGGATCTTAACAGGACGAAAAGACCAGGAAAAAATTCACATATGCCAACAGAACTTCATCACCAACAGGATAAACCTCATCCTCAAAATATATCAGCTCCGAATTCGACCCAAGGAGCATTGTAACCTCGGGTGGAATGACGGGAAGACCAGGCAACAGTAAAGGAGCAAAATACTCAGATAATTCCACCAATATTCCCTTTCTCAGGGCGAAATTTTTTTTCAAGTAGTTTACACAGCCAATCCTACGGATATGATAAATTGGTCCTCTATTTCACATATTTTATCAATACACATTTTGACAGGGAGTAATTGAATGATGTTCCACTGTATGGAACCGTCCATTGTAACACAAAAACACTACTAATACAGCGAGAAACATGTACCCTGAAGCGAGATGGATAACCAATAACCTGCCTTTCCTGCAGACCTACAATTAAAACATGCTATTTTGGCTGTTAAGATAATGAGTTTACCTCTGTTCTAGCACTACGTAGTTTGCAAATTCTGTGGCCCAGTGACCGGCTTCCATCCATAACAAACATCACTTGCCTAAGAAAGTTGCATAATGGGCGACCGCAAAGAAGCTACAAAATCACTCTGTAAAAGTTCAAGGTGAAGCCGACCAGATCCCAGAGATTGTAACTATTTGTACAAAGGTTACCTTCCTTACAACGTGGCGTAGCTATACGAAGGCTCACACACGTACATCTTTCTGCCATTCGAACTCCCCCGTACAGAAGCTTAAGCCAGTTAAAGGCAATGGGAGGATTATGAGTAAAATATACCTGCCTTTATTCGAAATGATCAGAAGGAGATGAAACCTAAGTTCGAAATCATCTTCAAGAAGCTCACATCAACCTCAAATAAATCAAAAGGATATATAAGTTAAGCGAATGGCTGAATCACATGATAAATAATGTAGAGAACGAAAAAAGAAAACAGTCGAGCTATACACAAGGTAATAAACCAAATGCTGCACTGGTGAGAAGAGAGCTTAAGGTTACCTTAAGATCAAGGGAATAATCAAAATCCCTTGCAGCATTTGCATTCATACATTTTTGGAGCTTGTCCTCTTAAAAACTTGAAAAAAAGAGTAACCCCAACCAGTCAATTGCTTTAATTAGAAGGAAAGGGCAGGTACTCTGAATCAACCTTTCAGAGGTAATCAGAAGAAAGAAATCTGGTTCAAACAAAAGTCTAAAAACAGAATAATGGGAGTTACAACAACAAAACGCTACCTACCTCAACCCTGTTCTCCTTTAACTACACTGATCAGAGGGAGATCGTAATACTCTCAACAAAGCTGTGATATAGGAAAAAGGAGTTTTACACACCGCAAGAAATCACTGGAGAGTTAAGCAAGGGTGATACTCTCTGAGATAAAAATCTACCTTAATAAGTTTAGAGCTTCATTCAGCTATATATTCCAAATTTCAGTGATCGGGACTTCTAGATGAACCCCTGTAACCATGCCTGACAGGGGAGCGAGACCCACTTCTGTCTTGGTACCGATCCCTGGCACCATCTCTACCTTTTCTGGATCTCCAATCCATTCCTCTACCTCCATCATAACTACCTCTACCATTCCTCTCTCGTGACCTCTCGCGATCTCGACCACGTTCCCGGTAGCGATCCCGTTCCCTCTCTCTGTCTCTGCCCCGATCCCTGTCCCGCTCCTGATCACGATATCTATCCCCATCTCTCGATCCACTTCTTCTACTCTCGTGCTCCTTTTCCCTTTGCTTCTTCCTCTCTTCAGCTTCTTTCTCCCTAGCCAGCCTTTCCTCTTCCCTCTTCTTCTCCTTAGCAGTCTGGAAGAGCAACAAACTTTAATTAGTCAGTGAAAGAAAGCTCTGCTTGCATCGAAAGCCTTCTTAATAGACATCATACCTTATACTCTGTGATGAAATCCCGAACCATACCATAACCCACATGCTGTTTCCCTGTGACATGAGATTGAATCCTTTCAGCTGCATCATTTGCCACTAGGAAAGAACCACATATCTCACAAAGAGCCATCTTTTTCTCCTGCGTAAGCATCAATAGCTTCTCATTCTGAGGTTGCTGCGTCAAGGATGTCTTTTCAGCATTAAGCAACTCCACCTGTGAAAGGGTTTCACCAATTCTGTCGAGTTTAAGACCGTGAATCTAGATGATATATACATCAAATGATACCTTTCTATGAAGAGCTATTGCTGAGAAGGGGTGTCCACTGTTTGAAATGTCTCAGTTGGAAATTAAACATTATTTCCACACAGAAAAAAGGACCTTTTCTTGGCATACACCAGAAAATTTCATGCAACAATGGAAACAAGGGATGACCAGATACCTTTCTCATGAGTGCTTCAGCTTCATCAACTTTTCCAGCTTCACCAAGGGATTCTACTTGTTCAAGCAGGTTCTTAATTTTCTCCTCCAGCACAGATAGTTGTTCAGATTTTTCAGCCGACAGCGCAGCAGGGGGGGCAGGTTCAACCTCCTGAGCAAGGCGTTCCCGCCCACGTCTAACTCTTCTATCTAAATCAGAAACCTGCACAAGAGTAATTATATGTAGGTATTACAGATTTGAGAATGCTCAATTGAAAACAACAGGTGACTTACCAATTTCTCACAGAACTGGCAAAGTTCTGCTTCAAACTTGGCGACAAAGGTGTCGTGTCTAGGAGACTTCTCAAAGCTGAGGCTCAAACAAAAGATGATTACAATAAAGCGTGACACTAAATCACAAGTAGTAGCTAATACGTAACAATCACAAAATGGTCAGATTGCAATAGCATATGTAGAAGTTCAGGATGCATCTCTCTCTCTCTGAGCCACATGCTTTATTGTTCTGTTACAGTAACAACATAAACATGAGGATACAAGGTTCTAGTTGTATTAGTTGCTTTCCCAGTAGAGCAAATGCTTTCAGATTTATATCCTCTATGTCCTTGCTTAATTTCGTGCACGAGCCACTTCAGGGTAGGGACACATGTTTGAACTTGTTATTCTATCCTAAAATTGGCTTGTGAGGCAACAAGTGCAACCACCAAAGCAAGGGAGTACACCCTATAAATACCCCAAAAGAACTGGGCTAAGTTTGACTGAATTTGGCACTCCAAGTCCAGGTGTAAGTAATAGCTTTTCAAAAACGTAAGTAATACTGACTGAATGCAATCGTGCCTTACTTTTCCCAAAGCAAGAACTTCAAGAGGGGGAAAACCCAAACTTAGCATGGCTTGTCCCTCTATCATAAAATAAGTTTTAGACCATGCTTCCGTTGCCAAGCAATAACTTAAGTAAATCAGTCCACATTTAGAAACTTTCGTAACCCTCAACAATTATGCATCGACCTATTGGATGTGAATCAATAACCCCGGCACTGAGGATCTTTGGAGAAAAGCAATCACATGAGAAATAAAAGCATAGCCTCTAAACAATCTCAACAAAGGCAATCACCACGAATTCCTCTTTTCTCGTAGCATTTGCTGCAATGTCATAAGTAAATCTGCGGAAAGTAAAACAGAAGAATTTGTTCTACTCAAACCCGCACCTCTCTTTCAACTTCAAATCATGAATTCTCGGGCATGGTCCTGAAGGAGACAAAAAATGGAGGTCATGAGTGGGCAAAATAATGGCACTCAACACACATGTCAACCATGATTTGTTGCTGAAACAGATTGTAGCAGAAGAAATTACTAATTTGCAATTTCTCTTATCACCGCCTGAAGCTGAGAATCACGAAACAAGCATCAAAAGGGTAAACATATCTGAAACTAAGATGTGCGTTGTCTCCAGAAATCACAATACACAATCGTACACCCATTATTTTGGATATGAATTTCCCCACTTCTCATGCCATTCAGGCCTGAGAAGTACATGCAAAAAATCACACCACTGTGGCTACAGCAATGTTGACCATATCGTGTTTCCTTATCATTCTCCTGCCAAAAACTTGTATACTGCTTATCCTAAACAGACAGTCAATGACTCGTGAAGGGACAGGGCTTATATAACAACAAAAGCACGGACTCTTCGAAAAACCGAAAGCAGCAAGGAAGTTAAAATCGTCTTCCGGAGTTGGTCAAAGAGAACTTTAGAGAAACAAACGAATCACGCATTAGCATCAAAGCTAAGACTAGGAAAGACACAAAAACAGAGAGCAAATTCGGATGGTAACACACCGAGGTCGCTTCGAGTGTTGACGAAGAGATCATGAGGGCAGAACCGCACCATGTAAAACGCACAAACCTCCTTATCGTCCCACTTGATCTCCCGGTAACCCCTCCTCTCTTCCTCAGTCAAATTCCGAGCTGGAAAAATCCACCCAAGAAAGATTTTAGGGCTCAATCAACAATTTCAACGACAAACACAAACGCACGAACGCCCGATCGACCAGTCCCCATACAGCACGACGGGGTAAAAAAACAAGGGCGCGGTAAGGAACCGCATTGATAAACCTAAATCGAACACGAAATTCAGCCAACAAGTCTCGGAGCCCTATCGAACCGACCGGCGGCGAATCCGAAAACCGACTCTCGACACATCGTACGCCACACGACGACAGACCAGGCGATAAAACGAAACATCAGATGCGAGAGCTGAATCGGCAATGGGCGGCGACGATGGTTTCACGTCCAACTGGACCCCGATCAAGCGACCGTACCGGAAGCGGAGGGAGGAGTACCTGAGCCCATGAGCTCGTCCAGCAAGGCTCGCTGCGCGTCCATCGTCGGGGGAATTGCGACGGACCGGAGGAGGAAGAAGAAGAGGAGGAGGAGGAGGAGGAGGAGAATAGAAAAGCGCTGGACTGCGACGGTGTGGCTATGGAGTGGCGTTTCTTCTTCCCAGAGAGAGAGAGAGAGAGGGGATTTATTTTGGAAAGTGAATATATACTGCGCTGAGAAAGAATGAAAAAAGAAAATCCCTATTAACGAGGGGAAGGGCGAGCCGGGTCCGGGTCCGGATTCGGATTCGGATTCGGATTTGGATTGAGCTTTCGGTGATGGGCCAAGCCCGACATGGAATCCGGGCTGAAAGAGTCTCGTCTGGGCTGGCCCGTGGCATGAGAAATTGGTAGCGAGATTGTCGAGTTTGGGGACGGGTTGGGCCTGCCCTTGGGAAGCTTGGCCCATGAAACTTTCCGACAACCACAATTGTGATCACCACGAGATTTTAGTAAGGGGTGAGCGGTTCCAGGGTCGATCCAGGTTCCACCTGGTACCTATCCTGCATACTCTAGAACTCAAAACCTACCTTGTCACAAGTTTCAAGATCGGTTCAAAGATTTACCCAGGTTCTACATGTAGTCTTAATTGAACTATTGCAATGAATCATTATCTTTAATGATTATTATTTGCTGTTATAATTTACAGACCACAACTTATATTTAGACACACGAAGAATATGAAACATTAACAAAGTAAAAGTCTCGAGATCATGGATATCGCTGGAAAATGAAAGCTCAGACTAGTGGTTTTAGATTATACACTCATCTTAGAGGTTATGGAATACCGCAAGATTGCATGGAGACATAAAACATAAAAAACATAGAAACTCGTTCCAAGTTCTAGGTAGAACCTACCTTGTCGAAATCAATTCTTCAATTTTTGAAACCTGAAATTTACCCTACATACCCTGGAACCTAAAATCGAACCAGTTTTCATCGGTTCTCAATTATACTCCGAAACCATCCTACCAAAATGGGTGGTCCGGTTGATAGGCCCATGAAAAATTCAATGCAAACGGCCCCACTACGTTTCTTTGGTTTTGGCTACCCTGCCTTCGTGATTGTACAGGGAAGCCTGACATTCGAGAAAAAATTGGAAATAAATAAAAAAAAAGAGAGACCACCAAAAAAGAAATTATTGGCTCGAAGGTGCAAAACAATCAGGTCCAACCAGAACAACACCTCGTTCTCGAAAATGTTATCCGAAGAAGAGCCAAAACCTGTGGCTCTCCCTGTGCTTTATATTACCCTCTTCGCGCGACCATCATCTAGCAAGCACACGGTAATGTAACTCTCGCACAGTCCCGCTTCAACATCACCTCAGCCATCTCAGGCAAGCCTCCCGCACCATGAACGACTCGGTGGACAAGCTCGTCATCTTCCTGGCCAAGCGAGATGGCATCGACAAGCTTGTCAAGACCTTCCAATACGTCTCGAAGCTTGTTCACTGGCATGCTGAGGCCGCACGCCCTGACGTCGCCCGGCGCGCCAAGAACTGGGAGGTCGCCTCTGGCCTGAGCCGCAAGGCCTTCCGCACTGGCCGGTTCCTCACGGGGTTCAACAGCCTCCGCCGATCCCCCGGCGCGACCCCGGCGTTCCGGCTCCTCGGGGTGCTGGCCAACGCGGGGGAGATGGTCTACTTCTTCTTCGACCACTTCCTGTGGCTGTCGAGGATCGGGACGCTCGATGCGGGGCTCGCGCGGAGGATGAGCTTCGTATCGGCGTTCGGGGAGGCGTTCGGGTACATATTCTTCATCGCGATGGACTTCATCATGCTCAAGGAAGGGTTGAAGTTGGAGAGGAAGCTCAGGAAGGAGAAGGAGAAGGAAGCGAAGGAAGATGATGAAGCGAAAGAGAGGGTCGCGAAGATAAGAGCGGATCGAGTGATGCGGCTCATGGCGGTGGCGGCGAATGTGGCGGATCTGGTGATTGCGGTGGCGGATATAGAGCCGAACCCGTTCTGCAACCATGCTGTCGCGCTCGGTATTAGCGGACTTGTGTCTGCATGGGCCGGTTGGTATCGGAACTGGCCCTCGTAAATGAAGGATTGTTAAGAGTTACCATTGCACACAGCAACCAAAAAACATAAAAAAAAAAGTTGAATGGGAAATGTAAATGACTCTCTTTGGCATGTGATGCACTTGGTTTCTGGTTTTGTTCATGGCAATATTGCACTTGTGGTGGATGATTCTTTGTAGCGTGTACGAGCTATTTCTCCTCCCATACGAAATAAACAGTGATCAATTCAAACTTGAACCCAAATAAACAGTGGAAAGGAGAAATATTAGATATGACAGGAGTGGGAAGTCGATTAATGGTGTAAACAGCAGTGAGAAGAGCATCGACCCAATATGAAGAAGGCATATGAGCATGGATTAATAAGGTTCGAGACATTTCAACTAAGTGTCTAATTTTGGGTTCGGATACACCATTTTGAGATGGGGTTTGTGGACAAGAAAAACGTTGAATAATAACATTTTTCACGTAAGTATGTTTGGAACGCATTACTGATATATTCACCTCCCCCATCAGTTTGTAAAAATTTAATTTTGGCATTGCACAGATTTTCGATAAAACAACGAAAGCGATGAAAGTGTGTAGGTACTTCAGATTTATTTTTTATGGGAAATACCCAAGTGAACCGAGAATAATCATCAATGAATAACACAAAATATTTGAAACCAGAATTAGATAAAATTGGACTCGTCCATACATCAGAATGAATTACAACTAAAGGAAAAGATGCACGATGACTAATAGACTCAAAAGGCAATCGATGAGATTTGCCTACAAGACATGACTCACATGATATCGACTTAGAACTAGAATTGCAAACACGACTCAAAACTTGTTTATTTGGATGGCCAAGACGAGCATGCCAGCGAGTGAGTGAAGCAGAGGAAGCCACGATAGGATGCGAATGAGATGACACCATTGAGTTGGAAATTGGACAAAGACCATGAGAAGAATTAGCTTGGAGGAGAACTTTCTCGGTTTGTTTGTCCTTCAAAGAAAAGGATGAACCATTAAAATCAATGGCACAAGAATTTTTATGGCAAAGTTGAGCAACTGAGAGAAGATTGCGAGCAAGATTAGGAACATGATAGACGGGAGATAATAGTAAAGATCGAGAACCAGTATGTAAAAAGGCTTTGCCGACTTGCTTAACAAGCAATAAACGACCATCACCAACCGAGACTTTTGTCAAATCGTAAAAAGGTATAGGATTTAGGATATTACCAATATCACTAGTCATGTGTGCCGACGCTCCACTGTCAAGATACCAAGTTGAATCAAAGGTCTCACCAACCAAGAGAGCTGAGAACGAGTCCGACAGATCAGTAGTGGTAAAAGCATGGTTGAATCGTTGTCGACATTGTAGTGCGGTGTGCCCGACTCCGTTACATATCTGACAAGTAAGATGAGACCTAGATCCGAGAATACCTCCCTGTGTGAAGGGGGGAACATAGGGCTTTGAACCACCACGAGACCGACCAGAGGAGGTGGAGGAAGCATAGGGAGCCGATAATGATTGCAAACCGAACTGATCATGGGAAGATTGCCAATTCGATTTATCACGCGAGAATCGTCCACCTTGTCCCCGACCAGATCTACGACCTCTAGAATTACGTCCACCTCGAGATCCTCGAAACGGTGGACTGGGTGAAGTGGTATGACTGAGCAAAGCATGATGAATATCAGATGAAGATGATGCACTGGATTTTCTGAGAAATCGTTCTTCTTGGATGTGGAGGCGTGACCGTAGATCACCAAACGAGAGAATTGTAGGGCCGTTTGTGACCATAGTGACAAAAGGATCATACTCAGATGGGAGCCCATTGAGGGCTTGAATCACCAAGTCCTTGTCAGAGACGGAGCAATTGATTGCGGTGAGAGAGTCCGCAATTGACTTCAGATGCTGGAGATAATCAGACATTGACTGATCGGGTTTCTTCACAGTATTCTGAAAATCCAATTTTAGTCCAATTTCCTTGGCCGCGCAGCGATCAGTAAAACGTTGTCCTAGAGCAAGCCAAATCTCCCGAGATGTCCGAAGGTCGTGAACTTCACGGAAAATTTCGATTGTGAGGGTCGAATTGATCAAACTACGAACGCATTGATCTGTCTTTACCCAGGTGGAATAGGAAGTATTGACCACTATAGTGCCAGTTTGATCATTGATAAGATTCGACGGACATGGAAAAGAACCATCCACATAGCCCAGCAGATCATTACAGATTAAAATAGATTCAAACTGAGATTTCCACAAAAGATAATTCTCTGCATCGAGTTTGATGGAGACGAGACTTGTGATGTTGGGAAAAACAAGAGACGGCGAGGATGATTGTACAGCCGTAATTTGAGCAGCAGCAGAGATCGGAGCAGCAGTGAAGAGGGAAGAAGAGGGGAAAGTGGGCGCACTATTATCGGGAGGCGATGGGAAATTGGGATTAGCAGAAAAAGAAAATGGTGGGTCAAGAGATGGTAGAGAAGAAGAAAAATTTAGAGATGTATTGGACATTGTTGAGATAGTAATTGAAGCAAAGGAAGTGTTGATTTGGGGTAGAGATGTTGAAAAATTCGATTTGTTTTCCTGCTCTGATACCATGTTGATATTTGGAGACAGAGAGAAAACAACGACAAAGTGTTTATGGTGGCTTAACCCTAATTAGGGTTGTATAATATGTATTTATAGGAGTGACTAATTACAGAAAGGGTACAGATAGAAACATAATTACATAAATACCCCATAATACATATAAATTACACATTAATAATACGTTACGATGTTATGACGTTATTTCTGCTATCATACGTTACGATTTTATTTGGACAACATTCACTTGATTCGGATGACAGCTTGATTTTGCAAATATTTAACAAGTGTTTTATCCCGGTAAATCATTGTTCGCAAAGAAAAAAGGGATAATGACACAAACAATCCCTGAAGTTTGACCCAATGTGCAATTTAGTCCATGAACTTTTAATTTGTTCAATGTAGTCCCTAAACTTTAGGCTAATGTTCAATGTGGTCCATGAACTTTTAATTTGTCAAATATCATCCCTGAACTTTTGGTACATGTTCAATTGAGTTCCCGAACTATATGAAAATATTCAATGCAATTCAAGTTCAGGGACTGTATTGAATATTTTCATATAGTTCGGGGATTGAATTGAACATGTACCAAAAGTTTGGGGATGACATTAAACAAATGAAAAGTTCATGGATCACATTGTACATTAGGTTAAAGTTCATGAACTACATTGAACAAATTAAAAGTTCGGGGATCAAATTACACATTGGGCCAAAGTTCAGAGACTGTTTGTGTGATTTTGCCAAGAAAAAAGCACTCCTTACAAAACATGAAAATCAACCATTTTAGGTTATTTATAATAGTTTTCTCATTGCATCTAATTCAAAATCTATGAGACATTTATGAGATGAGATGAGAGTTGTATTGACCATTTCAAATTACCATGTTATCATGGTAGATTCAAACTATTATTGTGAATTATATATCTCGTTTGTGGAAAGGGTTCTCGAAATACTTGGGTAAAAGTTATGGTTGAAAAATGTTTTAAATTTGTCTTACAAAATACTAGCAAAGCACACTATGCGCCAGGGAAAAAAGTTCTAAATGTGTGTGAAAATAGATAAATGTTTAGAAGTGCAAATTAGTGCAGGATAGCCACGATTCTATAATTTAACAAGGGAGGATTACAAAAAAAAGTCTTAAACCTATTGCAATTGTGCCAATTTAATCGTAAACCTTTGTTTTTTTGCCAATTGAGTCCTAAACCTTTTTGCATTTGTGCCAATTAAGTCCATCCGGCTAATTTTGGCCAGAAATCACTAACGTGAATGATAGCCGCGCAATTGAGTCATAAACCTTTTGTATTTGTGCCAATTGAGTCCATCCATTTTGACCGAAAATTGCTAATGTGGATATTGACTGTCCTACATGGTATGGCCAACGCTGACATAGACATTTTGAAATAATATTTTAGTATTTTTTAATTTTTAATTTTTTATTTATCCTTTTCTTTTCTTTCCTTTTTTTTTTTGCAACTCCAAACTGTGGACCAGCAAGGGTCGCCACACAAGGTGAGGGCATGCGGCCCCTCACCTAGATCTAGCGAGGGCCGCGACGCCCTTGCCAGATTTGGCCCCGGACGAGGGCATTGCGGCCCTAGCGAGGTCTGAGCGAGGGCCGTGATGCCCTTGCCGGCTCACAATTGGAAGTTGGGAAAAAAGAAGAAGAAAGGAGTGAAAAGAAAAGAACGGCAAAAGAAAATAAATAAATAAATTCAAAAAATATTAAAATATTACTTAAAAATGTCAACGTCAGCACCTGCCCCGTAAAATGGCCGGAGTCCACGTCAGCAATTTTGGCCGATGGATTCAATTGGCATAAATGCAAATGGTTTATGACTCAATTGAAAAAAAAGTTTAGAATTGAATTTGTACGATTGTAATAAGTTTAGGACTTTTTTAGTAACTTTTTCATTTAAAAAAATAATGGTGGGAAGTAAAGTATTTGAAGTTGAAATGACTCTTTTTAGTTTGATTTCTATCTAATGAAGATAAAGATAGAGATGATCCCCAAAGATCACGTGAGTATCTCTTGCAAGAGCTCCTTGCGTATGAAGATCATCATCTCTTTGAATCTTTGAACGGGAAACTACATACATCCTTCAGCATTCACGTTACCTAATCAAAGGAAATCGAAGGAACCAAGCATGGCCAATCCTGCCTTTTCTCTCGTCCCCGGTACTTTCTTTCCAGCCCTTTTCGACTTTGCCTCTTCCATTGATTCTCCACCGATCCAGGCCATCCTCGACGCCCTATGTTGCACGATACCAGTCGTCGTCTTCGCGTTGTTCGTGTACGCAGTTTGCTACGTATGTCTCTATGATGTTGTCGACGACTCCGGGCCTCAATTTGATGACCTGGAGGCCGGAAGGTTGCCGCTCCTCGGGAGGCGCCATGGGGGACCGGCGCGACCCTGCCGCGATCCTCCGCCGAAGAGCGAAGCGCTGATGAGGGTCGATGTGTACAGGAGCGACGGAGGTGAAAACAAGCGCACCGACTGCGGGGTTTGCCTAGAGGATTTTCGGGACGGAGATGCGTGCCTGTGGCTGACATGCTGCGGACACGCTTACCATAGGGCTTGTGTGAATCTCTGGCTCTTGGACCATAGGCGATGCCCGATTTGCCATGCGACGGTTCGGGTGGCACCGGCGATCCGACCCGATTCGCGACTTGAGTAGGATTCTAGCTTGATATTTGCCATGGGTATGTTTTTTTCGCTTTTGTTAGATGCTTAGTTTTGTGGATGATCACCTGTGTCGGATCGGATAAATCTCTCAATGTTTCCCAACTCATATTCAATCCGACCGATTGTACACATCTCCTTTTGAATGTTCTTATACAGGCACAAGATTTGTGACTCGCATCCTTCACTTTTGAGAATAGATCATGCACTTTATTGAGTCAGGAAACTGTGGAACATTAGATTGCAAAGTGCAAGATTTTTCATTTTTTCTTTTTGTATGAAACCTCGCGATTGGGTCGTAAAGACTTTGAAATCAAAAGGGAATGGTTAGTATCTCCTCATATTATAAAGCAAACTCAAATCCAGCTCAACCTCGAAATTTAATTTCGAAAAATTCCGAAAAAGAATCCGATAGGGTTTGTGATTGAAATGAGAAGAATGATAAGCACATGGCAATACTAGCAATTTCAATGTTGCAATTTACAACTGAGTGATCGCATCATCCCTCACATATCTCACCTTAGTGGTCTAACATGAACAGGCTGTGGCCAGGCCCCATCCTCGGCAGTCGTCCGTCATTGTAGTTCATCTCCACCCAAGTCAAAGCTGCAAGCGGCTCAAAAGTCAAACCTGGGGTCAAGTGTTCCACTAATTATATATTTTTTTGTTCGGATAGTTCCCCTGAGTTGACTCTCAAAATAAAGTTAGTTTTTGCGCAACATAACCAGGTTGTCGTCCCGACCAAAAAAAAAAACGATTATAGTAATAAGTGATTGTCGTCTCTCTCTATTAGAATATTTAAATATTAAATTACACATTCATCTAATAACGTAAAGGAGAGCGTTAAAAAATTTAAAATTTAAAGGAAAACGGAGTAATCACATCATTTATTGACAATGATTCCGTAAAATCTGAGTTCAAATCTTTCCGGAGCACTCCCATAAAATCTCGCACTCTCTTAAATTTATTGAACGCTAGTAAGATTTAGGGCTCGCATCCTCCACTTTTTAGAGAAAATCATGCAATTTATTGAGCAAAGGAACTACGGAAAATATGGGTTTCAAAATGCAAGTTTTTTATTTTGAAATCGCATGATTGAGTAGTAGGTACTTTGAAAATAGAGGGATTGGATAATATCTCCTCAAGTTACGAATCCAACTCAAATCCAATTACCTCAAAATTCATTTAAAAATATTCCAAAACAATATAATAATATTCGCGATTGAAATGAGATGAGCAATAACCAATAAGTTACATTGGTTATCTCAAAGTTACAACTGAATAATCACGTATATCCCTCACATATCTCATAAATCCTATATTCAAATTTAAATATCCCCCATCCATAAGAATTCAACTTCTTTTCTACACAATCCAAATCTTACCTTCTCTTTTGTTTTTGGTCAAGAAATCTTACTTTCTCTCGGTTGTTAGTTTTTTCCCCCAGTTTTTGCACGTGGGCCTACTTGAACTTGGAACAGGTTGTGGCCCACAGCCACTGGACATAGCGCACTCCAGGCCCATAACCAGGCCCAGGCCCAGGCCCGGGCCCGTCTTGAGCAGTCATCTTTTAATTCATTTTTGGTCTCAAAGCCGGCAAGCCGCTCAAAGTGTTAAAGTGCTCCGTTGACTCTCCAAATCGAAACGGAGCTGTTTCGGTGCGACGTAACTGCCGAGGTTTCACATTTTCTCAAAGTCATCGTCGTCGTCGAAGGTCAGTGATCATCCTCCTCTCCAAGCAGTCGCAGATCGTTCCGACAAGTGAGATTCCTTGCTTTCCGTTTGATTTTCCCCCCTGGTTCGGTCGCGAAGAAATCGCGGTGAAACGGAGCGAATTCTTAAGCGAATCAGATTTTTGAGTCATCAGTTCATGTTTGTATGGTTTTGGTTTCCGAAGCTTGGGCTTAGGTTTTGTGTTCTGAGATTCTTCAGTCTAAAATGAGGATCTGAGTTCTTCGCGGGACGCTGATTCGTGATCCGTGTAGATGAGGTTCTGAATATGGTCAAAATTGCATATCGTTTGTGCCGCTACACTGGTGTGAAGCATGTCGTGTGTTCGGTTCGTTTCGCTTCGTCGCCGTGTCGTGCGATTCCTGTCTGATATTGCCGGCTACCCGATCTCGTGATTTCCCCCCCTCTTTGCAGCTTGTCCGAAGCATTCCCGAGGCGATAGATCGAGTTTTGTTGGTGCGATGGCGGAGGGATCGAGGCAATCGCATTACGTGAAGCTAACGAAGGACCAAGCTCCTTTGGAGGATATAAAGCCTGGAGAGCTTAACCAGCCTATCGAGGTTCCGCAGGTTTGTGCTCTTCGGTCCTGAGTGCCGTCGTTATACCTGTTCTTTGTCCCCCCGGAATAATGTGTAAATGGTGTGGATATGTTTCTGAAGGATGTGGATTAAGTAACCTGGCTGTGGAATAGAAAGTTGCCGCGAATGAGGTTTGGTTGGTGATGTATCAATATTACTAAGTTATCCAGTAAATCCTCTTAGTTATGCCTTGTTCCATCTGTTCTCAAATTCAATATCAGCTTCTTTTTTGTATATGGAATCCCTTTGGAATTCTTATGTAAGGATATGGACTGACTAATGAATATCCCTTTTAGGTGGTCTACGAGCCGGTGCTCAACTGATTAGTTATGGAATCCCATTAATCTCTGTGTGTTATCAATATCTCTACGTGCGATTCGTTAAAACAGAATTTCTTTGTTCCTTTTTTTTAGAAATAGATATCCTTTTTTTTTCATTCATCATTTAGTGAATTGTATATATAGGTATGAACTTTTGGGTATACTAGGGATGGAAAAGAATTGCTCCGAATGTGTTTTAGTTGGTTGCATGTTTGCAGTTAAACATTTACATAAATTGTTTGACCATGCTGACTTTAAGTGATTTGTGGATTTTTCAGATGACTATTTTATAACTTTCACAGAAAAATAATTATGGGCTCTATAAGTAATGGCTCATGTACTGAGTATTGACTTTGAGGTCCATGAACGTTTGCGGCTAATTTGATCATACTGGAATATGTGAATGTACTTTATAGCAAGCATTTAACAAATACTACCAGATCAATTGTTTGATTCTCATTAGTTGGGGCTGTCCAACCATTATATAACGGATTTTAAGATTGAATCGTTCGTGTCTGTTCCTTCAGAACATCTGGAGGTCTTTACCTCGCTAACTTCCTGTTTTCCATGGTTTGTGACTGTTTTCTCTAGTCTGTCTTCTTCTCTGGGATTATGCTATGCATGCGATAATTTGATTGTATCAATTAGAATGAAGGGCAGCATCCATAGAAAACTAGAATCTGGTGATGGGTAATCGTTTGCTCATCTTGTATGAAACTATTCTTGGGTTTTAAACTAAGGACAATGAACCTAATTTCTGTTGCTGTGATGTAAACCTATTCCTGAAGCAATTATCTGTCCATGCTTCATTTTCTGCTTGTCTCAGCAATGAAGTAAAACCAAACATACATTCTCTAGAGAATGTTTCTATAAATCTGACTGGTTACATTTTGGGAAAAAGCTTGTGACTTTGGCTGTTGTCTGAAGCTGCAGTCAGAGGGACTTGCTATCAGCAGACTCAAATAAATTTAAAGATTTATTTGAGGATTAGAATCAAGCGACTTTTGGATTTTCTATGTTGCGCATGTTTTGAGTGGATATTGAAATGATGTTTGAGTTCTTGAGTTATACTGCGCCATTGAATTTCAAAGTTTGAGCTTTCCTGTCTGTCAAGTTGTCTTCTTGTTTCAGGAGGATTAACATGTGGGGAGGTGAATCCCATTGTTGAACTAACTAATTGTCGAGGAATTTCTAAAATATTAAATTTATTGTCTTGAATATAGAGTTTCCTTCTTTGATTATTCTGATTGGGGTGTTGGATATGGAAGGTGCATGCTGGCATTTATGGATGCTTATGTGATGCCGATGTTGGCAATCTTTCCTTAAGCCTTAGATAGATCAAGGAATAAATGGCTAGGTACACGTATGCTAAACTCGTTGTACTGGTACAGTTGGACGTTCGCAAATGCCATGAGTGTGGGCAACCTCTTCCTGAAAGCTTTGAGCCTCCTGCGGATGAAAATTGGACAACTGGAATTTTTGGTTGTGCTGAAGACAGCCAAAGTTGTAAGTTTCAGGACAGCTGAACTTTTGCATTATGTTGTCTAGTGAGGGGATAATGGAGAATCTTGTTGTCTCTCTCTTTCCAAACATGCTAGCCTTCTGTAGATTTGAGGTTAAGATTTAAAACAATTTGTAAGCAGGAATAGATGGTGTTCTCATAGTCTTGATCACAAAATTGCCTTTTCCCTTTGCTGTGTATGTTTTACAAATATCCGACAATGGCACAAAATGCATGAGCCCATTATCGAAACACTTGAATTACTTTTGAAACTGAGCTGGTATCATTAATGGGATTTCCTTTCGGCTTGATGAACAAATCGAGGAAATGTGGGAAAAGGTTGTCGAATTTCAATAAAGATCCACCAGAAATTGGCTTGTGTTTGAGCAGTTGAATAAAATGAGCAGCAGAGTAAGCCTGTGAACTGTGAAGTAACCATTAATGTTGGATAGTTTACAGTCAGATAGGTCACAACATACTGCTGGGCCGCTCTGGCTTTTAGCTGTACTTTGCTTATTCACTTGTGCCTTGCCTTAGATTATTCTTCAGATTGTCTCATATCACATTTTGGGCCGGTTAAGGAAAAGCTTATTGTATGAGTACCAATGCAGGCTGGACTGGACTATTTTGCCCTTGTGTGCTGTTCGGTCGCAATGTTGAGAGCTTGAGAGAGGATACTCCTTGGACTACTCCATGCATCTGTCATGCCATTTTCGTGGAAGGTGGCATTGCACTAGCAGCAGCTACAGCGGCCTTTAATGGCATTGACCCTCATACGTCATTTCTCATTGGGGAGGGCTTACTATTTGCTTGGTGGATGTGTGGCATATACACTGGCCTTGTTCGCCAATCACTGCAGAAGAAT